ATTGATATTGAATTGCTTGAAAACAGCCGCATTCTCCAAACAAATCAAGCACATACACTTGTTCAGTCGTTCAGTGAAAAATACCCCATTTTTCACTTTTCCTGTAGTGGCCTTCGTCATTATCATTCCTTTTGTTATCACATTCTCCAATATAGAACATTAATGAAAATTTTATACATAAAAGTTAAGGCATCCATTTTTCCAATTAAGATAAAACCCTTTTGTAATAGTTGGGAAAGTGGAGTAGAAATATTTTGACCTTTATGGTAGCAAATAATCAGGACGGTAAAACGGTTGTGTCTAAAGGTGAACCTTAAAGCGAATAATACCGCAATAAAATAAAAGAACTGAAATAAGCTATAAAACAAAAGAAATATTGTCAAAACGTGTTAGCTCTAGCTATTCAAACACACAATTAACAATGGTATCAGTTTTATTTTTGATTTATTTAAGGTCTCCATAGTAATAGCTTTTGATGGACTTTTCCTATTTACTTTAAAATGAAAAATAACACAACGCTGATATTTTCTAGCAACTTATCAAACTGAGCGTTGTACTCCTAACGCTTTTAATTTGTTATAAGCTATGTTAGTTCGTCTATGGAAAAAATGTCCCAGCTTGAATTGATTTTTCACGATGTGTCCGCCGGCCAGTTGAAATGTTAACGTGGGCCGCATTTGGCCCCTGAATTGGACTTTGGACAACCCTGCCCTAAACAACTATTTGGAGTGAAGGCATTTACACCGTGTATCAACAACATACCACCACAAACAGTTGGCTATCCACGAGGCAGCTTACTTGCGGCTTTTACTGCCCCGTGTCATAATCAGCCATTACACCGCAGCTAACTCCACACCGAACACGCCTTAAGCTGTCAGTCCAGTTAGAAGACGAAAACAGGCATGCCACGGGTACCGACTGCCAGCAATGACGTGTGAAGCTTTTAGCCAAAGTCGAGGCGGGTCACGTGGACTCCAGATTGGAAGTCGAGTAGGACCGACAACAGCGAGTTCGGTCATCATCGAATTCATTTTCCATTGTCAAGTTAATTTTTTCTTGCGCCACCCGGCAACTGGCAAACAAAACAAGGCCCTCTCCGGTAGGCGGTGTCGGGGATTATGTGGTAAGTGATCAAGCTAACGCAACTTACTTAGTGCTATCTGTCATTCTAAGAAATTAACCAGATTGTCGTTGCCTAACACTCGCCTACGTACATCATCTTTGCGGACACGCTGGTTCCATCCGTCACCAGCAATACTTCGCAAACAGCGACTGTCAAAGACTTTAAGACGCTAATGCTCACTCCCATAGAGTAGGACACCCCTCACTGTCGCTTGGTAAGCACGCCTTTCAGACAAAGAAAATTTCTTTTTTACACAGCAGATGTCGCGGATCCAAGAAGACTGTTCTAGTTTGTAATGCTTAAACTGACTTCAGTGGCTATGCGCCTATTATTGCTGATGCAGCCGCCAAAGTAAATGGTTTTATCAACTCCCTGGAGTTCCTCGCCATCAAGGGTCAGTGGACCATCAAGTGGTTGATGGTCTAGCAATAATACTGCACTTTGAGGTTGCAAAGCGCCTTTAAAATGATGCAACCATTCTTGAGCGTTTAATTAGGGTTAATTGGGTCACACTAATATCGTCTGCATAAGCAAGACTAACGAGCTTTTCACCAGACAGCATCTCAACGCCTGCATGGTGAGAGTTCCCAAGGAAACCCTCCATGATGGAGTACATGATGAAGTTGGACAAAAATCGCGAAATTGGGCGACCGTTACGCACGTTTCTTTTCGGAAAGGCACCCAACAATTCACTGTAAACCCTGACACGGCCTGTGTTTGAGTACAGGGAACATAAATTGTCTAAGTACTTCTTAAGAATGACTTGTCGTGCAAGAATCTCGAAAATAATCAATGGTCGACAAAATATAACTTACTCTTTTTGTACAGAATAACAGTAATTGTTGGTCTGCGACTTGTATAGGGTTACTCTAGCAACTGCAGCAAAGTAAACGTATAATCTATGCAGTCCACTACTAAACGAAAAGCCACTTTCTCTTTTTTCCTTTTGGATCGCCGTTCCCCAGTGAGACGACGGAGAATTGAGGCCAGTAATTTTGTCACCACCGGCGTTAGGTTACTATTCATTATACTGCCTCTGTGATCGATTTGTTACAGTTAGCTATCATGATATATTCCTTACAGACCTGTTCAAACAGGAGGTCAGAGCTTTGCTAATGACCTCACCACCATCCTTACATAGTGTCTTAGCAACCTCAGAGGGTTTAATGGCTGTAATCGTGTTTCGGACTCTGATCGCTTATGAATCATGTAAACTAACGCGCAATGACTCAGTTTGCAGCACATGCATAAAAGAAGTTCAGGAACAGGAGGCCAACTGAACTGCTTCCGAAAGTGCTTTGCCCAGATGGCCAAACGGCGCTGCTTGTTGTGAATCCGGACAATCAAACTGTCTCTTTTGTTCTCAATAATCCAAGTTTCCTGGGACGAGTGGTGCTAATCATTTGAAAGAGGTTGCAACAATTCCCTCTAAATGTGCCGTTGTCAATTTCTTGAGTCTTACTTGTCCACCAAACTTTCTTCTCAGTACATACACCAATGTATTTACCATGTAATAGCTGGTCTAGTTATTGTGCTTACAGACAGCCGGAAGATTTCTTATGGACTTCATCACTTTTACCGACTTCTCGATTATCCGTTGTGGCAATGACGATTGATAGTGCCGCAAGTGGAGGCGGCCGCTTCATGCATGACGCTGTATGTTCTATTCCGCTGAAGCCGTGTTCTTAGAGTTAGGAAGCAAACGTTCGTTATGCAGTGATTTCTGGTAGACTTACTTAGACGACAGAAGCGATAACTTCTCGGTTGCTAATCCGGGAAGGCACACACTACCCCCCCAAAAAGTTCATCGAAAAACGGCAGCGTACTAAGACATGAGAAGAGTCAACTCAGATATTCCAAAACGAGTGACGGTCCAGTTTGTAACCACGCCAGCTGCAGCTAACAGCAACACGATTTATTTGGGTCAACTGTTGTCCAGCTACAGGAGAACGCCAAATGGAATTTCGACGACCACTCTGTTTGAAGGCGGTGTTAGTAAGTAACATCTGGTGCTGCGCACACAGCCGCAACAAGCGCTCGTCGTTATCCGTGCGGCTGGATCTAAGTCCTTAGTTAACACATAGCTTAAGTTCCGAAGAGTTCACGTAACAACTGAGCACTCATATTTCCTGCTATAACAACGAATAATGAACTGACAATATTGCAGAGCTGCGTGTTCTTTCTGGAGTGATTGTCCAGAGCAGCATTAGAACTGCAGTCGGTTGGGGCATAAGTTAGTGACAGCAAATCAAACAAGGATTAATCAGCTTGAGGCTGAGAAAGATGCCCACCACAACTTGAGCAGTGGTTGCGGCGTCAGCGTCTCCGGATACGTGCAACCAATGACGAAGGACAAACCGGGAGCAGTTAATTCAATAACCCCGCGATGGCTACTGATCCTAGTTTCGGACACGCTAGTAAGATGGATACACCTCGCACCAAATGCGCGTGGGAGAACAGCCTGTTGACCTATTGGCGGACGTCGAACGCCGCCAGGAAAACGAGATAGTGTGCCCATATAAGGGGCTGTTGCCGTTATATTTCCGGCGTATGGTGTGGGAAGATAAGTGCAGGTGGTATAACTTCAGTGGCATCGTGGATGCTGCCTTATATGCTGGGAATAATAGACGTTTAATACTAGGCATCAATAGGAGAAGAAATGTAACTTTGAAATAGAAAGAAGGGAGGAGCTAGCAGCATCACGTTTTCGCTTACCCGGTCTGGTCAATGCGGCTGTGCCGTAACCGATATAGGAGGTGATCGAGGTTTGAGTTTTGGGTGCGCTGTGATAGTGTCATGGAGCATAGACATAGGTAGAAGAACGATTACGGTCATCAATCAAAGATGTTGGCTCAAAAGCCTGCATGCAATCACCGGGGAGGTGACAACGATTCGGTTTCTCAAAAATAGACGCCATCCCGTTTCTGATCCCCAACCTGGAGGACTGAGTTTCTTTGTCCTCTAACCTTTGATCAGCTTGGGAATTCTCAAAGGACGCACGAGGACCACCAGTACAGTAAATTGGTCGAGGAGGTGTACAAACCGCTGCGCCACAGTTAAGTCCAGTCTTGTTGCACCGGCGCAAGAATAACTAACTACCAGTCTGTTTGGGAGGTGGTCCCATGGGGATCGATATGTAATCTGGTGAGAGGAAGAACGCAGCGATCTGCACATTTGTGACTGTGGTCACCAAACATTCACGAAATTCGCTGTAACGTTCCTTATGTAGAAGTGAAATGTCGGGTTTGTAAATATCCAACTTTTGAACTTGATTGCGATAGCCAAGCGCTAAATTTCCTGGCGTTTTATACACTATGATTTTAATTTCAACGACGGGATTATTTACTTTACTATTCAATCAACTCCATGCTTCCTTTCAGGCTGCCGTCTTAGTGGCATCTGCCAGCATATCCGCAGGCTCAAATTTTCGGACGGTTTGACCTTGATACTGTCGAATCTAAACTATGATTTCTGTTCTGTAGTTTGTTATTCCTGCTGACTTACTTTCATCATAATCTTTGAAATACCAGAAGTGTCATGGTAAGCTTTGGAAAGGTTGACGAAACTTCGGAGAAATGGAAACAATACTTTGATTGCACCATCAATCAGTCATATGCAGACCGTCAGTACATTAATCACTGGGCGGTTTCTAAATTTTTATAATATATTGCACATAAAACAATAGTTCACAAAGTTATCCATTTTCGCATAAAATGGTGGAACTCGAAGCTATCCGTGGATGGAATACGCCACTAATTTTACAGTTGGTATAGCTTTCTACTATATAACTTGACCCTATTCATATAATACAGTTATAAGTTGAACTTCATTTTAATCCGGCCATCATTTAGGTATCGTTAAAAAGAAGTTCTGCATTAAAAATGGTGACATAGGCGAGCGTGTTTGAAGCTAGGCAGCGGCAGCGATAGCAAGTAAGAAATTAAAAATTAGACAGCACTGTACATAAAGGGGTTCTGGAAGTTTTAAGATTGTGTTCATAGCAGCTGTGAACAGAGAGGAAATGAAACAACTCGGAATCGGATACGCTTTTCGTCCTGCCATATCACATAGAACATTAAGCTAAATTCTTTCTTTTATGGCCGGCAGGAAAAGTTATATGCAGTCAATACTTCATCTGTTTAAAGAGTACCTCAGCAGTCGAATTGACATTGGGTGATTTTGTTGAGATCTTTCATCAGCCCTTCCAAGTTGGCCATCTCTTGACTCAGCTCTTCCGCACTGTATTCGCGCTGAAATTTGAAGGTAAGTGACAAAGCGATATAATCAACCTATTGATTACTGACCATATAATATACAAGTGCTAATCAGTTGATACGTTACTAGTACTGCAGTAGTAGGCTATTTAACTGTGTTGGCTTGATATCGCTCTGCTTCATCGTTATCGCAGTTTACTTTATAAAATGGAACCAACTTTTAGTACCAAGAAAACCACAGAGCCCTGAGATATCGGATTTCGCTTTTCCACTACACTTTATTTAATGTTCGCCCAGCAAGGTAGAGAAACATGTTAACACATAGCAGATGATTAGGGAAATTCACCTTTTTCGGTGCGGGTCATCCGGGACCCCTGACAACACTGTTCCGTGATTTTATTTTGCCCTCGTAAACGAAGATCTAATAGTTTTTACTCAAAGCATTGCATTTGTCCAACATGCAATGCACGATGAGTGTAGAGGAAATTGTACGGATACCGCAAACACTAGTGAAATGACAGGTCATCTTATGAACCCACTATCAGTAGTACTGGAACACTTAAAGTTTCTTCAATTTGTTGTGAGTTGTTGTGAGTTTACAAAGTAACGCATAGAAAGCTATGCAAAGCTTAGTACGGAAACTCACCGTTGATGATTTTAAAAATTATTCTTATCCTCATTCAATAAACCACATAAATAAATCTAAAACAACTCGGAGCGTTGCTAGCCCGAAAAGAGTGCACTCCAATACGCGTTTAGACCACAATACTTACTTCAGGTAGTGATATCAAACTTAAAACCAGGAACTACCGAGCTGTTTGTTGGGACATCTACCCCTTTAGCCACTGGGTCACAACGGGCAACACCTGGCACAATAGTTAATGACTGATCAGAAAGTCGTTATAGAATACACGTTGTGTGGTGGAATTGTAACGCTCAACCTCAATGTGGATCGTGCATCGTATTGAAGCTAACGGTAGCTGAAGTGTGTGGAAAATTGGCGTTGCCCGCCCGAAAATACCGCACTATACCACCGGTTTTGACTTTGTTTGATAGCATCCGATAGATATAGCAAACCTCGAAATAGTAACCCTATTCTTTTAGTCATTTTTCAAAGGACCAAACGCCACTATATGTCAGATTTATCATTTACGGTCCCATTGATCGCAGTGACCATGATTCACTTCAAGGTGAAGTGTAATCAACATTGAGATTGCTCATCGCAACCATTCACACAACCAGTACTTCAAACCGACCCTCCAATTAATCATCAACCGTTGTGCCAGGTGTTGCCCGTAGTGACGCGGTAGCCAAAGAAGTGGAGGTTTCGGCTACCATTCTAATAGTTTCGGGTTCCAGCGCTGCTATCTCCACCTGATGCGATCAATCCAGAAGGAAAAGTGTCATGGTGTGTGGTGTTCTCAAGCGGGCAACACCCAATTTCCATCTGCTTCGGCTACGGTTCTAGTGATTGAATTAGGGAAGGTTTACTTCCATGAAAATCGCGGTTTCCATTGAGATTGCCTGTCGTAAAACAATAACACAGCGAGCATTTCAAACTTACCCAAAAGCAACCCAGCGTAAGTTTTCAACTTACGACTTCCTAAATTCACTGAATTGTTGTATCGTTTCCCAAAGTTCAGAGAGTATTGAACAGAATAAGTAAGTCATCTTTCTTTGAACGATATGACGATCACAAATATCCGGTCCGGTCCCAGTCACAAAATAACTCCAGAAGCTCAGGCGAAAACTTGCCACAAACTTAACGCGACCATCTTGTCTATTGGAAATTAATGGATACCGAAATGCAGGCCACTTTTGATGCCTCTGCAGCCTATATTTTTCATTGTGGACTTTAATAAAAAGTTTCTGTTTTATTTTCGTAACCATCGTCTTTCGGCTTAGAAAAAAATGCGAGTGTACAGATGTGGTTATTGTTCATAGTGCAAACCATAACAGCTCTCCGTAACAGTCTGAATTTACCTCATTAACCTGAACCCTATAATTGTCACATACATCCGTTGCTCACATCCACTAATACCGCACGACTCACTGAAAGTTCTTTTCCAGAAGCAACATATAAGAACTCCGAAGGATTCTTGAGATCGAGAGTATCATCATCCTTGTTCGCTTCCATGATACTAGGAGTAGTCAAGAATTTTGCTTTTTTCAGAATTGAAGGAGATATGGCAGAGTTGTCTACCGAAGGCATAGTCTGTAAAAGAGATTGCTGCTGGTTAAAAATACCAGCTGCTAAGCGACTGAAAGGTGCTGGTCGGGGGGTCGGCTCAGGCGTTGGAACGCGGTCCAGAGCAAAGGAAAGTCCTACCTGCGCCGCACGCGTTTCTGATGGGGGTCGCTCCGGAGAACATCTGTGACCCGTAGCACTAGAAGCACTGGACTTGTTACCTGTAGTTACAACGGAAAAAGTGTCGCTATGATTTATAACGCTTTCCAAATGATAAGGCTAGAATCTAAAGTCAATAAAATGATTGAATAGTGCAATCTCTGGTGTGTAGTAAAGCAAAACATATTAGGAGGTTGAATACTCAATTTTTAAGTAGTGTACAGTGACCAATTGCTTGTGTTTGCCGGATACTGCCTGTTTCTGTATCGAAGCTTTTCGAGGCTTGTAATGGGATGCACCCACAAAATTCAATGTTCCATTTCTTATTGCCTTACTCTCACTCAGTTTTAAGTTGATAGATTTAAGTTAATATTTTGCCAAGTCTAAAGCGCCTCGCGGAGTTACCGAGAATTAGAGACAGTCAGTTATGAGAGACGTATGCTACAGTCATTCACATGCACAACGTAGATTATTACGCATCTGGCGCATTTTATTATAAAGAAGATTAGCGCTCCATAATTTAGTTCCTTTAGGCGGAATTAATGAGCTCAAATAACCGTTAATGTGTAACAAACAGCTAGTTATGATCAAATCTTATAGTGGACATACAAGGATAATCAAGAATAGCGGAGAAGATGGATGAGAACAGTGAGCATGGTGGTTCTTTCGAGGAAGATCGGTTACACAGCTCCTGCATTCTCCATTGATTAAGCGAATGGTTGAAAGTATGTGCACTAATTTGCGATAGAGGCTTCTAAAAAGTGTTGTCTCTAAACAAGACATACTTACATGGCGGTTAATTAGGATAGAGATGTCTAGCTAGCAGCTCAGCTCCGACTGATTCATTGAGTGCTAAAAGATACGAGTGAAAAAACCTACGGGTCTGAGATAGAAATCTAAGTTTTCTTGCACACCAATGCGGTCTACCGCCGTCACCCATACGGCTAAGTGGTATAAGCAGCAGGCCACTGACGCTAGTTTTTGGAGACAACAGGCCATAGGTTTGGTTCCTGGTGATAACAAGAAGTACACTTTATTAACTGGTCCCAATAGACAGAAAAGGTCGTCTGGTGCATTCCAGGTCGCTACTTCTAGAGCCTTCAGTCAACTTTAAGCCTGATAGATGACGTAACTCTTCGGACAAAAATGTCGTTCGGTGAATCCATAAATGTTTACGGCGTTGCAAATTTCCATGGAAAACAATGCATTCATACATTCGTACTTTCCATTTAAACTGAGAATGGATAACTTTTGGGTAACCAACCATTGCAACAAACACTTATGTTGATTATGACAATTCGCCGTATTACAGGTTTTGGCATTCATCATAAGGAAACACTGAGCATTGCCGTTAGAATAACCAGGTTACTAGTGTTTTATGATTACCGAGAAATAATTCTCCAGTTCATATTATTGAGAACTTTTGTCTTCTGCCTTCAGTGATTAGACCATTGTTTGTTTCACAATACAACCGAACGTTTCCAGGAACTAACTAAAGAGAACGATTATCATATGTTAGCAGTTTTGCCCAAACACAATCCAAGCTAATCGCACAGGAAATGTGGAAATACGTGAATCGTCAGGTGTAAAAATTATTCAGCTCCCCAGAGAAAGTTTGGATTTCTACACAGAGAACCAGGCAGTGTTACTTTGTCTATTTTCATGTGGCTAGCCGGGAAATTGACAGTGACTCCCAAACAACATCAAAGAAGCTTTATGAATTTGAGTACGAATGGTGGGGCCACAGACATTCACTTTAAAGGTAGAGTGTATGAAACTAATAGCATTCTAATTTGTAAATGCCTCCTTATTATATTCAAAAATATTAAGCTGTGATGAACTGTTGTGAAGTGAAAACATTCAGGTTGGTTTTAGTCGCGGGCTTCGATCGTCATCGGCGAGCTAGTTAGACACAAGGCAAATCCGAAGTTATGATGATTAGACCTAACAGAAGATATTAGGGGTGACCGCATACCTTGGTTCAGCCCTCGGAACCTCGAACCAAACTAGAACGAAATAAACTGTCCGTGTTTTCTTCACATAGGGTCAGTTAATTCCCTGAATTAGGGTACCATGGATGAATGCTTAGCCCAGGAAAGAACGTGACACGAAACTCACATGTTTGACGTAGGAAGTGCTCAGACAGAATTAAGTTTGATAGTTATCGCAATGTGTTAGAGTATCCTGCAGTCTTCCCTGTTATGGTACAACGCACACAGTAGTATATAGTTTACTTAGGCTCTGTCATTCGGCCTGCTCAAGGCTCTCATAACGCATAAATTATGTCAGATTTCGTCTTGTTAATTCACCAATCAAAATGAGCACGTTTGCCCTGGTGCGATTAAACATCATGTGGCTTGCTACGGGCACGTCAGCAGTAGTGGTCACTGAAAACAGCCACATGACTAGTCAAAGTCTCGTCCTTAGTTTTAAGTTCGCTTTGGACTCTTCAAATATAAATAACTTGGCTAAAATCGTGTATGACAACTACGTGAGCTTCCAAGAATTTCTGTCCGTAGGAATGCGTAAAGCATGCGTCTGAAATCAACAGAAAATACAGCACTTGGCAGTAGTGGAAGACGAATACGTCCCTATATATAGGAGTATCACTATCACAGTGGATATAGCAGTTCATCTTATAACCAATATATCCGAACTTAACCATTTGCGTTCGTTTGGCCAACGTCACAGCCCAAACACAGATTACTACAACTATAAATCTAACTCTGGAAGCATTAGTGCATGTTTGTTTAAATTTGTACCGATCAGGTACTTAAGCTGCTCGGATGGTCACAAAAAGTGCCTGTTTTGAGCCTTCAAATCGTTGTTGATAGTCCGAAGTTTTAGATGTAAGTGAATTCTATGGCTGGACTGAATGTCCAGATGAGAAACACCTTAGGATCTATATAATCTCCAAGTAGCAATTTTTATTGTATAAATACCCACAGCCTCACAGAATTTTAGCAACTTAACTGGGCATCTAAGGTTCGGTGTTGCTGTCCCCAAATACGACACCCCAAGACATGTTTCCAACATTCTTCACATAAGCAAGTATAAACAGTGGAATCTTGAAATTAAGGTGGTGGTTTAGAGGTTGATTACTGGCCAGTGATCATTATTCCACTGTGAGTGATAAGGAAACCTTGGCGCAATCGCAAAGAAATTAAATATTTTCCTTAATTCCCACAACCCGATGAATCCGAGCAAGGACAAAACCGGTCGTTAGATGCGCTGTTGTGGTCAGACAAGATGGAAAATATTACTGTTCGCATATGGTCTAGCGAATGAATAACCAAAACTTGATTTAAAGTGGACTAGGTAAGAACTGCATTCGTAAACCAAACCCACGGTGAATACCCCAAAATCCAAAACGGAAGTGTCCAAATTGTTATTAGTTGCGTTGGACTGGGAGACAGGGTTAAACCCACCAATATGATATGGTAGGCTGTTCAATACATGAAATGTATTCACTCAGTGGCATTTGCATCTATGGATTTTGTCAAAATTATTTGCACGACATTGTGGTAGTTCAGGAACACATCCTTCTTCAGGTGTCTTTTGCTGTGCAAATATCAGAATTCACTCCATTAACTCAAATAATTGCCCTCTACGGAAGCACACGAAAATGTTTACATTTTCGACGCTGTTTCCTTTGTTGGTCTAATTGCTTGAGTCAACACAAAGTTTTTCCATTATTTTTGTAGTAATCCTTCCGCGATCAATCATCCAACACTCTGTGGGCTTTGTCCAAATTGAATCCAACAGTTCAGCTAGTCCATTAGAGGGCAGCTCTCGAATTGATTGGCTTTCGTAAAGAATATAGGGAGAGTTGCCGGTTACCCAGGAGGAAGTGTCGGTGTTTGAATACAAAAAGGGCTGTGATGTGTTTTGAACAATTAGGTGCAGAAATTATACTCATGTGTGCTGAGCTATTAACTTGCACGCTACAACACGTTCAACGCCGCTAGCGTGGTGAATATCACTTGTTGTGTGTAAGAACGTGTCCGGATTCAAAGCATGCACAAATTACAGCTGGTGTGACAGAGAGACAAGGATACTCGTGCATTATCTGTATTTCGTTTTACTTTTGTTACACTGTGCTAGGTTGTCATCACGAAATCTACTGTCAACACTAACTCGTCTTCCACTTCTCAGGAGCTCAGTGTAACAAGATGCTAGGTACTCTCAAGTTCTACACATTTCGAACACACCACAGTGACTAATGGAATTGAAGCATTCGGATTCATAGAGAATTTGGCGTTCAAAACCACTTGGTCAATCAATGCAGCCTAAAAGTGTGCCCACAGTCACTCAACTGAGCATAATTCTTTAGTTAATGAATATCAAGTCCAGAATGGATGTTTGGTTTGCTTCCTTGAAGATGGTTGGTTTTACAGAATAGTGAAGACAATGGCTTGCAGGTCAGCTTTCAATTGTTCCCCTGAGGTGGCTTTAACTTCCAGAGCATGTAAGTTAAAATCCTCAGCAATTTGGACAAAAATGTAGTTACAGTCTATCACCTGCCAAAAGGCAGGCGCCAACTTGTAGTTCACCCCGGATATTGAAGTTGGGGTTGGTAAACAACGACATCGAAGTATGCTTCTTTTCCTCTTAGCCGCAGAAGGCACCAAATGGATTCGGGCACTGCGGTTTCTTAAGCTCCCTTTATTGCACAGTAAGGTGGGTACCGAAATACAGTTTAACCCAACCACGTTTACGAGCCAAATCATTCCAAAAACAAAACCACAGTTAGCGCGATCTTGGCATCCTTTATGTCGCGCCGCAATTATGTTTATATGATGGCCAAGAGTTCCTGGGCTTTGAAATATTTAGAATTTTCGAATCAGCTAGTGTGCTGAGTGGACCTTTTTCCAATGAGGTGCATGTAGGAAAGCTTATCGAAAGCTAGTTAACTAGATGATATGGTAAATGAAGCTGGTGAATTTACGCCGACCGATGAATAGTCGGCGACTACAGGCAGTTTGGCACCGAGTCAAGATACAGTAATAATTCATTTAGGGAAAAACCTACACATGATTTTTGTTGATACGAATTTAGTGGA